CATTTCCTGCCCTCATAGGTCCCTGGTGCTCTTTGCTCATCTTGGCCTTCCTCCAGCTTCGTAGTAAAGCTGTTTTCTCATTGGTGGCTGTCTTGTACGTTCTAAGACAGCTGTCTCTTTCCTAGGTGTCCTTGCTTACAGCAACCTAAGCTGGACACTTAGTAGTTTACTCTAGAATCTGTGCTTAGTACACGAAAGTGAATGATAAGGGGCAGGAGGCTCCTGGCTGTGGAAACTTAGCACCTTATACCTGTGATTAGGCTTCAGGGGCCTTTTCAAGAAGCCTGTCCCCAGGGACTGCAGGTTCAGATGCCCAATGCAAGGCAGTGGGTAGCTGGAGAAGTTGGGATTGGAGCCATACCATGGGAGTCTGGGCTGGCCTTTATGAGCAGGGATGAAGGCAGGGGCAAAGCAGGGTTTCCCACAGTGCACACTTCCCGGCATTGCCATGTCCTCTGAGGCCCTCCTTCCCAAGACTTGAGACTACGCTCAGAATGCTTGTTCAGAGAGAGCTCCTTCACCAAGCAACCTGTGGCTCCTGCCTCCTCAGGGTTCATCCTCCCCCACCCTGGGAGCAGCAAACCGTGTTAGTAGACTGGAAGTACTCCCTGAGGTTCCAATAATCAGAATTGCTTATGGTGTTTGGGGTTGGGCCCAGGGCCTCATGTGCTGGGCAGATACTCCCCAACCCACTAACCAGAACTTAGCATTTTGTTAGATTCATTTATGTATGTATGTACATGCAACTCTGCATGTATGTAGAATTCAGAGGCTAACTTACGGAAGTTGGCGCTCTCCACCATGACGGTTCTTAGCTATCAAACTCAGGTGGTCAGGCTTGATAGCGGGCTCCTTTAGCTGCTGAGCCAGCTCAACTGCCATAGAACCTCTTCTTGTTCTTGTTGTTGTTTTTTTTTTCAGGACAGGGCTTCTTTGTGTAGTTGTCCTGGAACTCAACTCTGTAGCCCAGGTTGACCTCAACTCATAAATCTGCCTGCCTCTGCCTCCTGAGTGGTCGGATTAAAAGAGTGCGCCACGGCCACCGCCACCGCCACCACCACCACCACCACCACCACCACCACCACCACCACCACCACCGGCTTTTTTGTTGTGTTCTTTTGAGACAGGGTTTCTCTGTGGCTTTGGAGCCCATCCTGGAACTCACTTTGTAGACCAGGTTGGCCTTGAACTCAATGGAGATCCGCCTGTCTCTGCCTCCCAAGTGCTGGGATTAAAGGCGTGCACCACCACTAACTACCCAGCATGCCTGCCTGCCCGCCCTCCCTCCCTCCCCTTCTCTTCCTCCCTCTCGCCCTCCCTCCTTCCTTCCTTCCTGTGTAGCCCAGGCTGGCCTCCGAGTCTGTAGCCTTCCACGTGACATCAACACGGCTGTAGAGACTGTCTTCCCTGGAGACTGGAAAAAGGAAGGCTAGTGCTTTGGGAGGCCTCTCTGGGCATTGAGGGCTCCTGGCCCTCTTCCTAGGTCTAGTGCAGCAGGGGAGGGCGCATTGTCTGTTCCAAAGCACATCCCGTAGAACATTTCTGCCCTTTGCTAAGTCAGAGCTTCTTCCCCCAGTGGCCTGTGATGGTGTATTCCTTCTCCGTTGTCCACAAGGGGGCAGACTCTGCCAAGCCCATCTGTGCTATACTTCCACCATGTATTTTTTTTTTTGTTTCAGAAACTTGTAGAAAGAATGTCTGCTGGCCATAGTAGTACACATCTATAGTCCGAGCATTTGGGAGGCAGAGTTCTAGATCAGCCTTTGCTATATAGTGAAACCTTGTCTGGAGGAAGGAAGGAAAAGCAAAATACCCACTGTTTTAGAAGTTGAGCGTATCTGAAATGTGAAGATCTAGGCAAATTTGTAGTGGCAGTTTCATCTGGAGGTCATATTTGGCCTTTCTTTTTTCCCACTCGAGGGAGCCTGAGTCAGCACCTTAACCTGGTGTGACATTTGCTGAGTAAGTGCTTTTCACACCATGTTTCCTCTTCCTGACATTGGAGGGGTGGCAGGGACAGGAGTCAGAAGGGGGCTCCTAGGGCAGAACAGCGCAAGCAGATGTGTGGAGATCCCAGTGCGGGAGGCAGGATGTGCCTGAGGAGGTGGTAGTGACTGGTGGCTTTGCAGTGTGCTCTGTGGAGCTGGAGTGGAGGAGTGTGGTGGGCATTCGTGTGAGGAGGAGGAGGAGTGCGGTGGGCATTCGTGTGAGGAGGAGGAGTGTGGTGGGCATTCGTGCGAGGAGGAGTGCGGTGGGCATTCGTGTGAGGAGGAGGAGTGTGGTGGGCATTCGTGCGAGGAGGAGTGCGGTGGGCATTCGTGTGAGGAGGAGGAGTGTGGTGGGCATTCGTGCGAGGAGGAGTGCGGTGGGCATTCGTGTGAGGAGGAGGAGTGTGGTGGGCATTCGTGCGAGGAGGAGTGCGGTGGGCATTCGTGTGAGGAGGAGGAGTGTGGTGGGCATTCGTGCGAGGAGGAGTGCGGTGGGCATTCGTGTGAGGAGGAGGAGTGTGGTGGGCATTCGTGCGAGGAGGAGTGCGGTGGGCATTCGTGTGAGGAGGAGGAGTGTGGTGGGCATTCGTGCGAGGAGGAGTGCGGTGGGCATTCGTGTGAGGAGGAGGAGTGTGGTGGGCATTCGTGCGAGGAGGAGTGCGGTGGGCATTCGTGTGAGGAGGAGGAGTGTGGTGGGCATTCGTGCGAGGAGGAGTGCGGTGGGCATTCGTGTGAGGAGGAGGAGTGTGGTGGGCATTCGTGCGAGGAGGAGTGCGGTGGGCATTCGTGTGAGGAGGAGGAGTGTGGTGGGCATTCGTGCGAGGAGGAGTGCGGTGGGCATTCGTGTGAGGAGGAGGAGTGTGGTGGGCATTCGTGCGAGGAGGAGTGCGGTGGGCATTCGTGTGAGGAGGAGGAGTGTGGTGGGCATTCGTGCGAGGAGGAGTGCGGTGGGCATTCGTGTGAGGAGGAGGAGTGTGGTGGGCATTCGTGCGAGGAGGAGTGCGGTGGGCATTCGTGTGAGGAGGAGGAGTGTGGTGGGCATTCGTGCGAGGAGGAGTGCGGTGGGCATTCGTGTGAGGAGGAGGAGTGTGGTGGGCATTCGTGCGAGGAGGAGTGCGGTGGGCATTCGTGTGAGGAGGAGGAGGAGTGTGGTGGGCATTTGTGTGAGGAGGAGGAGGAGTGCGATGGTCATTCGTGTGAGGAGGAGGAGTGCGGTGGGCATTCGTGTGAGGAGGAGGAGGGCGGTGGGCATTCGTGTGAGGAGGAGGAGTGCGGTGGTCATTCGTGTGAGGAGGAGGAGGAGGGCGGTGGGCATTCGTGTGAGGAGGAGGAGTGCGGTGGTCATTCGTGTGAGGAGGAGGAGGAGGGCGGTGGGCATTCGTGTGAGGAGGAGGAGTGCGGTGGTCATTCGTGTGAGGAGGAGGAGGAGGGCGGTGGGCATTCGTGTGAGGAGGAGGAGTGCGGTGGTCATTCGTGTGAGGAGGAGGAGGAGGGCGGTGGGCATTCGTGTGAGGAGGAGGAGTGCGGTGGTCATTCGTGTGAGGAGGAGGAGGAGGGCGGTGGGCATTCGTGTGAGGAGGAGGAGTGCGGTGGTCATTCGTGTGAGGAGGAGGAGGAGGGCGGTGGGCATTCGTGTGAGGAGGAGGAGTGCGGTGGTCATTCGTGTGAGGAGGAGGAGGAGGGCGGTGGGCATTCGTGTGAGGAGGAGGAGTGCGGTGGTCATTCGTGTGAGGAGGAGGAGGAGGGCGGTGGGCATTCGTGTGAGGAGGAGGAGTGCGGTGGTCATTCGTGTGAGGAGGAGGAGGAGGGCGGTGGGCATTCGTGTGAGGAGGAGGAGTGCGGTGGTCATTCGTGTGAGGAGGAGGAGGAGGGCGGTGGGCATTCGTGTGAGGAGGAGGAGTGCGGTGGTCATTCGTGTGAGGAGGAGGAGGAGGGCGGTGGGCATTCGTGTGAGGAGGAGGAGTGCGGTGGTCATTCGTGTGAGGAGGAGGAGGAGGGCGGTGGGCATTCGTGTGAGGAGGAGGAGTGCGGTGGTCATTCGTGTGAGGAGGAGGAGGAGGGCGGTGGGCATTCGTGTGAGGAGGAGGAGTGCGGTGGTCATTCGTGTGAGGAGGAGGAGGAGGGCGGTGGGCATTCGTGTGAGGAGGAGGAGTGCGGTGGTCATTCGTGTGAGGAGGAGGAGGAGGGCGGTGGGCATTCGTGGGAGGAGGAGGAGGAGTGCGGTGGGCATTCGTGTGAGGCGGAGGAGTGTGGTGGGCATTCGTGTGAGGAGGAGTGCGGTGGGCATTCGTGTGGGCGTCCTCTCTTTGCAGGTGGGGTGGGGGAATAGCAGGAATGAGGCAAGGCCTTGCTGTGTGTGTCACACTGGCTGTAGCTCTTGATGCATGTGCCTTAGCCTTCTCATTACAGACATGCAGCACCATTAGACAGCTAATGCCACCATTCTTTATAATGTAATTTAAATATTTTTAAGATCTCATTTTTATTATTCTAAATTATGTGTGCATCTGTGTGTGGGTGCACACAGTAGGGTGCCCACAGTGGCAGAAGTGTTGGCTTCCCCTGGAAGGTGGTTGAGAACTGCCTGACTTGGGAACCTATCTTAACCCTCTTTAAGAGCAGTACTTGTTCTTAACTGCTGAGCCATCTTTCTAGATCCATGATTCACTTGTATTAAAAGCATATATCCACTTTGATTAGCGCAATGGAGTATGTTTTTATATGTAAATTACATTTGTTTATGGGGGTGTCATGTGCATGTGTGGAGAGGACAACATGTAGAATAAGTTCTCCCCTTCCTCTGTGTGCGTCCCAGTCATGAGGACAAGAGCTCTTAGCCCCTCAGTCATTTCATCAGTCCCGATTTGGTTCTATTTAAGGGTTTGGTATGCCCCTGGCAGAGCAAGGTCTTCTACTTGGCCTGCTGCTCTTCCTGTTGGAGTCCTGGGTTTTCCTTTGTTCACAGTCAGTGGAAGGGGTTTCTCTGCTAACCTTTGTTTCGTGTATTTCCAGGTGCTGGCAAAACCCCAACCCTAGGCGGTGGATTCCATGTGAACTTGGGAAAGGAGTCACGAGCACAGACGCTACAGAATGGTATTGCCCACTTGAGTGTTGCTGGCCCTGGGGTGGGATGGAAGGGGGAGATGGGAAAGGATAAGGGGTGGGGTCAGAGCAGGCCAGTCCTCAGCTGTTACTGCTGCTCTGCAGTGTCCACTCTGTCCACCCCGTGCCTCACCTGTGTCCTGCTTCTCTTTGCTGCCCTCACGGCCCAAGGCCCATCACTCTGGGAAGAATATGTCCTAAGTGTGCTCCCTCTTTCAGTCACTCTGCAGCTCTTGCTAGGCCCCTGAGTGACGGGCCCCAGATGATGCCAGCCCATAGCTGTCTGTTCCTAGTCTCTTGGAGATAGACATAGAACCAGCAAGTCATAGCCATTTGACCTGGCAGAAGTGATATTTCATTGTTTTATAAAAGTATCAGTTCACAACAAAGAAGAGAATTATCTGTTCTGATCCCTTGCTTGTTTTAATTTAATTAGGTGTTTGCCTTTATTGAATTGAAAAAGTTTTTTATGTATTTTAGCTACAGTGTTTATTGTTTTGGTGTTTTTGTTTGTTTTGTTATTTTTTTGAGTCAGGGTCTCTATGTAGCCTTAGCTATCCTGGAACTCTCTATGTAGACCAGGCTGGCCTTGAACTCACAGATCTGCCTGCCTCTGCCTCCCAAGTCTGGGATTAAGGGCATGTACCAATATACCTGGTTTTAGCTACAAGTCTTTAAAAAAAATACATACACACACACATTTATTTATTTATTTACTTATTTATATGTGCTTACCATGGCACATTTATGGACAGCTTGCAGGAGTTGGTTCTCTCCTTCCACTGTGTGAGTTCTGGAGACAGAACTCAGATCCATCTTGGCAGCAAGTGCCTTTACCCACTGAGCCATCTTGTCACCCTTCTGTGAGTCTTTGACCAGATACATGTTACAGAAAAGTTTCTCCTGCTCCATGAGCTGTCTTTTCATTCCTTTTCTTTTTCTCATTACTTGCTGGTATAAAATGAAAAAAGATTTATTATAAAATTTATACAGGTGTTTTATCTGCATGTATGTATGAGCACCATGCGTGTGTCTGGTGCTCTGGAAGGTCAGAAGAGGGTTTCAGATCTGGAACTGGACTTAAAGATGGTTGTGAGCTACCATGTAGGCACTAGGAACTGAACCTAGGTCCTCTGTAAGAGCAGTAAACACTTCTAACAGCTGAGCCTTCTTTCCAGTTCTTGGTGGTGTCGTTTAAGGCACTTTTTTTTTTTTTTCTCATTCTGATGGTGTCTGGCTTATCTTCCTCCTTACCTGGTCAGTTCTTGGGGGGACTGGGGGGACTGGGGGGACGGTTCAGTGGGTAAAGTGCTTGCTGTGCAAGTCTAAGGGCCTGAGTTAGGGTCCCCAGTTGAGCATATAGAAAGCTGAACATGGGGGTGTGAACCTGTCACCTGGCACTAAAGAAGCAGAGACAGGTAGAACCCAGGGCATCAGGGGATAGACAGCCAGTCTAGCCACCAGGGTTAGCGAGAGGCGGTAGCTCCAAAAGATGGGCTGAGTGACAGGGGACCCACCCAGTTTCTACCTCTGGCCTCCACGGGTGTGACCATGGGTGTGCATGTGCACGCACACTCCTCCAAACTGATGCTTATACCTTCTGTTGTCCCTCCCTCCCTCCCTTCTCCTTTGAGACAGAGTCTGTTGTTTGTCCTAAGTTGTTCTGTAAGTCTGTAAAGACTCAGGAGCCAAATATTAAATATTGGGGTAAAACCTTTATAGGTCAAAGAAGTGTTAGAGGAGTGGCTAGCTGACCTTTCCTCCTCACTTCTTAGACCAAAGGGGACAAAGAAAAGCCAGTGAATCTCCCTCCCTACTCCTTTCTGTGCCTCTCTATCCATATCCTGGTTCCTCCATGTTCTCTATGGCCAATTCTTGTCTGCTAGTCGCTGGCTCTGCCTCCGATTCAATGTTGACTTTATTAACACAGACAGGGTTGTCACAGTGCCATCAAATGTCCTGCAACAAGAGTCCCCTCTGCCTCACCCAGTGCTGGGCTTACAAGGCCTGTACCACCACATCCCTTGAGTTTCAGGATGAATTTTAGAGTCTGTTTACAGTTTCTGTCAGGAAATCAGCTGCGGTTTTGAGAGGATTATCTCCCGCTCCTCCCCCCTTCCCCCTTCGCCTATCCTGCATCCACTCTTCAGGGTAAGGCTTTCCATAAGAAGTCAAGGAAGTCTGCGCATCACCACGTTGAGGCAGGACCAAGGCCCTCCCTGCTGTGTCTAGGCTGAGCAAGGTGTCCCTCCATAGGGGAATGGGCTCCAAAAAGCCAGTTCGTGCCCTAGGGATAGATCCTGGTCCCTCTGCCAGTGGCCCCACAGACTGCCCAAGCCACACCACTGTCACCGGCATTCAGGGAGCCTGGTTTGGTCCTATGCAGGTTCTCCAGCTGTCAGTCCATGAGCTCCTGTTAGCGGGGATCAGCTGTTTTTGTGGGTTTCCCCATCCTGGTCTTGATGCCTTTGCTTATATTATCATTCCTCTTGGGGGGATTATCTTAATCTGTAGATCGTTGTGGGGAGTGTGGTTGCTTGAATGGTACTAAGTCTTCTGGGGTTGTCTTTTCATTGATCTGAGTCTTTAGAGTTTCAAATTTGGACTTATCAGTTAACTCTCCAATGGGGAAACTGCCCAGATTCTTCTGGTGGGAGTTACATTGAATTTGTAGCTCAAATTATAGGAGTGTGCTATGTTGATCTGAAAGTGTGAACTTGTAGAGTTTTTTATTTTAGCAGCCTCAGAGGCTGTGAGCAGACATTGTTGGTCCTTGCTGGGTTTGTTCTGGGCTGGACTAGGCAAAGAGGCCATTCTGGGGAGGATCAGGCAGATGACTGTTAGGACAGAGGCGGCACTTGGCACATAGTTGTAGGAGCCCCATTCCTTACAGACAAGCCAGGCCTTAGGGACTCCCCAGGAGGGGCGTAACCACTGTGTCTGTGTACTGCTGCAAGCTGAGATGCATGTCAGTCAGGAAACTACGGTTTTGGTGTTCATAACTGAGTTAAAAAACTTAGGACAAAAGATAAATTTATCACTACTATCACCTACCTACCTACCTCTCTCTCTCTCTCTCTCTCTCTCTCTCTCTGATTACCAAGTATTGAACCTAAGGCCTTGTGTGTTCTAAGCAAGATCTCTACCACTGAGCTCCATCTCCAACCCTCATTTTACTTAAAAAACAAAACTTATTTCATGTATATGGATGTTTTGCTTGCATGTATGTCTGTGCACCAAGTGGGTGCTGGAAATCAAATCTTGGATATATGGGAAAACAGCCAATACTCTTAGCCTCCAAACAATCTCTTCAGCCTAGTTTTACTTCTTTTTTTTTTTTTTTTTTTAAATGAGATAGGGTTTCTTTGTGTAGCCTTGGTTGTCCTGGAACTTGCTCTGTAGACCAGGCTAGCCTCTAACTCAAAGAGATCCACCTGCCTCTGTCTCCTGAGTGTTGGGATTAAAGGTATGTTCCACCACTGCCCAGCCTGTTTTATTTTATTTATTTATTTATTTATTTATTTATTTATTTAAGATTTATTTATTTATCATGTATACAATGCATGCCAGAAGAGTACACCAGATCCCATTACAGATGGTTGTGAGCCACCATTTGGGTGCTGGGATTGAACTCAGGACCTCTGGAAGAACTTAACCCCTGAGCCATCTTTCCAGGCCCTAAAACTTTTTTAAAATGTAATTTATTTAACTTTATTTTATATGCATTGGTGTCCGGTCCCCAGAAGAGGGCACCAGATCCCATTACAGATAGTTGTGAGCCACCATGTGGTTCCTGGGAATTGAACTCATGATCTCTGGAAGAACAGTCAGTGCTCTTAACCCCTGAGCCATCTCTCCAGCCCCCCCCCCCTGTTTTACTTTTTAAGAGGTGGTCTAACCAAGTTTCCCAGGCTGGCTTTTAACTCATTCTCTAGTCTAAGCTGGTCCTATTTGTTTGTTTGTTCAAGACGGGTCTCTAGGTATCACTGGCTGTCCTAGAACTCACTGTGCAGACCAAAGCTGGCTTCAAACTCAGAGATCTGCCTGCGTCTGCTAAGATTAAAGGCATGTGCCGTCATGCCTGGCCCAGGCTGGTCTTGAAATGATCATCTTCTTGCCTCAGTCTCCCAGTAGGTAAAATTGCATGTCTACACTAACAGGCTTTGCTCAAGTCTTCAATCATAAGGTGCGCTTGTGATATTTGATTTTACATGGAAAGCTGTGACTGAGGGTCTTTCTGTATTCTATCCCAGGTCGGCGCCACATCCACCACCTGGGGAGCCAGCTGCAGCTGAACCAGCACTGCCTGGACACAGCCTTCAACTTCTTTAAGATGGCCGTGAGCAAGCACCTGACCCGAGGGCGGAAAATGGCCCATGTGATCGCTGCCTGCCTCTACTTGGTTTGCCGAACTGAAGGCACACCTCGTATCCTTCCTTTGTTGTGGAAGCCCCATTTGGTTCTTGGGTGACTACTCAAATGTTGATTCAGGAGTTGCAGGAGTTTGGTATTGGTTGGTGTTACCAACAGTTCCCTTATTGGATGTCTGTTCCCAGCTGATGCAGGGTTCCCTCTCTAAGCTGCCATCTTAGTTAGGGTCTCTCTTGCTGTGAAGAGACATCCTGGCCACAATAACCCTTAAAAAAAGAAAACATCTCATTGGGGCTGACTTATAGTTGATAGGGTTAGTCCTTTACGTCATGTCATGGAGCATGGTGGCACCCAGGCAGACATGGTGCTCAAAAGGTATTGGGAGTAGTACATCTGGACTGGCAGGCAGCAGGAAGAGAGAGGTTCTGAAACCTCAAAGCCCAGCTCTCCAATGGCACACTTCCTTCAGAAAGGCCATACCTGTTCTAACAAGGCCACACCTCCAATAAATGCCACTCCCTGAATCTGTGGGGGCCATTTTCATTCACACCACCTCAGCTAAGGTGGTGTAGTCAGGCGAGACTGTTAAGTCCCCGCCACTTCTGTATGGTAGAGGAAGAGGGGGAGGAGGAGAGCTCACTACATCTCGCTTTCCCCAGCTCCCCTTGTGCAGCTTTGTTTCTTGAGGTTCCAGGTCTGGTTCTCCTGTACACTTCCCAGGCACCCCGCACTCGGCTCTGTCGGCTGCACATACGTCAGGGATTCCGTCTTTTGTCCTGCAGAGTCTTGTGTCAGTCTGGTGCCATCTGCACACTCCTATCGGAACTGCCCACAGTTCATTGTCTCCATCACTCGGGGACCTTGGTGTCCTGCTGTCTCTTTAAAACCAGGCATCTTCTCTCTAGTAGACCCTCCCTCTGGCCTCCTCCAACCTTGAGCTTGCTGTGTCACTTGTTTCTGTTTTGTTTACTCTGCCTGTCCTGTCAGGCTTTTAAAGAAATCTTTGCTTCCTTTCCACCCATCTGTTCACCTTTTGGTTTGCGGTTCCTAGACTGTGTCTTTTATTTTAAGCCAGTCCTCTTAGTTTTGCTATGGGGAGGGGTGGGGGCGGCACGTGTGCTACAGTGGGTGTGTGGGGTGAAGAGGTCATTTGTGAGATTCAGTTCTCTTCTACCGTGTAAGTCCAGGGATGAGATCCAGGTTGTCGGGTTTGGTGGCAAGCACTTTTACCCACTGAGCTATCTCCTTGGCCTTGTCACTTGATTTTTGAGCTGGATCTTTCACTGAAGCTGCTTTCCTGCCCTCTGTGCTTGCACTGCAGAGCAGCAGATGACCTGGGGAATAGAAGAGCAGTGGTACCTGGCTTTCCTACTTCAGCTGGCACAGCTGACCTTGGCAGACTTTGAGCAGATGATTAAATTGTGCTTGGGCTGCGGTCCCCTGAGCCATCGGGATGCTAGTCTGCACAAATGTACTTAGAAGCCCAGAACTTAAACTGTGAGGGTAGCTGCCTTGGCAAGTGACTACGTTGTCTTCAGGGCCATCTCCAAAGGTCTGAGCACAGAGTGGTCTCCTGAGGCTCCCACCTAAGTCCTGCACCCTCTTCAGTAGTTGAGAGAGGAGAGGCAAGTATCAGAAGTGGATCTGAGTGGGAACCGACTCAGTTTGCTGCACCACTGCTGCTAAGGCACAGACCTCAGGGTGGGGCAGGCAGAAGCAGGTAGGCGGCATCTCTGAATGCTCAGTCATGAAGGCAGAGGCTTGAGGAGGCACGCGTGTTGGAGCAGCACGCTGTACAGATGCTCTGGGGGGATGATGTTGAAAAGCGCCACACACACAGAGAAACTCGGTTGCAGGCACAGGAAGTTGCTGGAGCAGTGAGAGGCCAGTCCTCCAGGGAGGTGGAGGGAGGGAGCTCAGCAGCAGCCCTGAGCCACCAGACACCACCCAGAGCATCTGTCCCGTTACTGTCTGTGGACAGCGTCCTGAGACCTGGGGTCATGCAAGCCATTCTGTGCCCAGAGCGTCTGTCCCGTTACTTTCTGTGGACAACCTCACCACTCAGAGCATCTGTTCCGTTACTGTCTGTGGATAGCATCCTGAGACATGGGTAACGCAAGCCATTCTGTGCCCTGTTCAGTCCATATACTGGGCCTAGGCAGCTGTGAAGTATGTCCTCAGCCCCTCTAGCTCCTGTTTCAGGAAGACAGACATGAAAGCTCTGAGCTGTGAACCTACTTCTCTTTCATGATCCCAGTGCAGGGGCCCAGGACAGTATGCACTGGGAGCCTCTGTCACCAGGAGCTATAGGCCCTGACTGTCTGGGTTTTAATCTTGCCTCTGCCCCAGAGTTTGGTAACCTTGGTTCTTAGTGTGTTACCTTTTCAGGGAAATTGGAAGGGAAAGCCTATGCCTCCATGTCATCATGTTGCCAGAGAGCAGGCCTCAGGAGTCTGTCTGTAGACAGCAGAGAGCAGGTATCAGTTCTGTGTGGACAAGTGTCTGTGCTGTGCGGAAAGAGGTGTCAGGGTGGATAGTGTGCAGCAGGGTTGCACAGGGAAGCGGCTGCAGCCTTCTGCAGACAGCAGGTGTTTGTGTGTAGACAGTGTGTTTCAGAGAACAGAAAGCAAATGTCATTCAGACAGTAGGTGTCGGTGTTGTACAGACAGTGGGCATCAGTACCGCACAGATAGCAGCCCTCAGTGTTGTTAGTAGGCAGCAGGTGTCGAGAGCCCTGTAGGGGTCACTCATCCTGGTTGCAGACTGGGAGTGGAGGCTGGCTTGCTGCATGCTCAGTGCCTTTGCATCCTAAGGGCTCCTGCTCTGAGGAGCTGTGGCTGGGCTGAGAAGAACCGTACTAGATGGTACTGTTCAGGGAACAGTCGGAGCAGGGTGGTCCAGTCATGTGAGAAGTAGACTCTGATGAGTGCCAGGCCAGTTTTTCCTCTCCGTTTCTTGGGATCCTGCAATAGCCGTGTTAGTTGGATGGGTTCCCACAAACGCATTCATCTGCTGACTGTTATGGACACAGATTTTTTTTTTTTTTTTTTTTTTTGTCAGATTGCACATAGGAGGGCCATTTCTCTTATTTGTGTCTTTGGACATCTATAGAAACGTTTCATATGTGAGGTTGTGTACACAAATCTCACACCTGGGCCTGGAGATACAGCTTCATGAAAGGCTGAAGTAAATGGATCTCAAGGTCAGGGTCAGCCTGGACTTTAGCATGAGTTCATGAATAGTCTGGGTTTCTATTTCTGTTGATCCAACACCATGACCAAAAGGCAAGCTGGAGAGGAAAGGGTTTATTTGGCTTACACTTGAGCTTGCTGTTCATCACTGAAGGAAGTCAGGACAGGATCTCACAGGGCAGGGCAGGAACCTGGAGGCAGGAGCTGATGCAGAGGCCGTGGAGGGGTGCTGCTTACTGGTTTGCTTCCCATGGCTTGCTCAGTCTGCCTTCTTACAGAAATCAGGACCAACAGTCAAAGGATGGCACCACCCACCATGGGCTGGGCCCTCTGCTGCTGATCACTAATTGAGAAAATGCCTTACAGCTGGATCTCAAGGAGGCATCTCCTCAGCTGAGGCTTCTTCCTCTCTGATGACTCTAGCTTGTATCAAGTTGATAGACAAAGCCAGACAGTACTGTAGCTCAGATTCAAAGACACAGGGGATAGGTTAGGGATTTAGCTTTGTGGTAGAGAGCTATATGTGCCAGGTCCCAGGTCCAAGCTTCCATGCTAAAAGGAAGAGAGCAAGAAATAGAAAAAAAAAAAAAAATGATTCCATGTTTGTTCTAGTTCTGCTTCATTTAGATCTCTAGACTTTAACCCTATGGAGAATCTCAGTTTGAATCAGATCTTGTTTGCAAATGTTTTTCTACCAAGCACAGCCAGTCAGATGTTTTGGTTGGCCATTAGCCTGCTGTTTACAGAGCCACTGATCCTGACCTCCAACGCTGACCGAATTGGGGCCAGTTTGGTGTGGTGGCATTTTCAGACTTTGTTAAAGTTGTGGATGGCCTGAGGGGGTCTCAAGCGTCTTCCAGCTCTCCAGAAAGTCCGGCCTCTCGCAGTTCTTTGTTTCCCACTCTTTGCTGTGTTTGTTTCTCCTTAACAATTGGATCTAGAGGCTTGCTGAACACAAGTACCACCTGTCAGAATATGGTAGGGCGCAGATGGGGTCACAGAGCGGTCCTACCCTTTAGAATTTGGGGTTCTTGCATACTCGTGGCTTTGGTCAGACCGTGACTTTTCTCTTGATTTTTATGAAACTCCAGCACCCATATTAGAATCAGGGACTTATCAAAGAGGGCTAGGAGGATACAGTACCTCTAGTCATTATATATAATTCACTTCCTACCAGGTGGGTGAATTTTCATACCAAGGAAAGTAGTCACTTTGGTTGAAAGTTGAATTCTAGTCTGCTTTAAAATTATATAAGTTCCCTCCATAGCTTTATTGTGAGTGGTTTTCTTCTTTTCTCTGTTTTTTTTTTTTTTTGTTGTTGTTGTTTGTTTGTTTGTTTGTTTGTTTGGTTGGTTTTTTTTTGGTTTTTCAAGACAAGGGTTTCTCTGTGTAGCTTTGGAGCTTATCCTGGCACTCACTCTGGAGACCAGGCTGGCCTCGAACTCACAGAGATCTGCCTGCCTCTGCCTCCTGAGTGCTGGGATTAAAGGCGTGCGCCACCAACGCCCAGCTTAACTTTTTTTTTTTTTTTGGCGAGTGGGTTTCAAACATCACTCTCCCAGGAACAACCTGTGGTCCTTATTCCACCCAGCCACCACCTCCTCCCATCAGCTTTCTGTGCCGTAGCATCCGTCATCTTATTTTTGACAACTAAGTTTACTCACTTGAATACTTTCCCTCTCTATCCCACTGTCTGCCTTTTTCTCATCTTCTTTTATTTGTAATGGGCTTTGGGTTGAATCCTGGGCCTTGTTTGCCCTCAGCAGGTACTCTTCTACTGAGCTCGCTGTTCCCCAGCACAGATGATTTTTTTCTTTTTCCTTTTTTAGTGTTTTTGCGACAGGGTTTCTCTGTGTAGCCCTGGCTGTTCTAGACCTCACTCCTGTAGACCAGGCTGTCCTGGAGCTCTCTGCCTCCCCAGTGCTGGGATTAAAGGTGAGCGTCACCACCATCTGGCTGCAGTAACTGCTCTTAGCCACTGAGCCACCATGCAGCCTGTGTCATTTTTATGTGTAACACTGAGGAGGGACCTGGTGCCTTGTGCGTGTTAAGCAAAGTTTACCACTGGGCTGCACCTATAGCCAGTAGCTTAACTTTACTGACAAGTGACTTGTTTTTTGTTTTGTCTGTGTGTCACCTGAGTTTGGACTCATCTGAGATCTGTTCTTGTTGCTGTTTAACTCACTCACATAAGGATAGGTCTTACACCAGAGCCCCACTGGTAGTGTTTGGTAGGTACCCACTGCCTTGCTATAACATCTATGTCTGTCCCCTGGGGAGAGCCCTGCTGACTCTCAGAATGGTGACTTGGTGGTTCTCAGTTTGTGCCTGAGGAATAGAGCTGAAGTGTGGTGGCCCATGTCCATGCCGTGCCTGGAGAGAAGACATTGTACAGTAGATGTCTGAAGCCCCTATTTCTGCTTTTCCCTGACCTTTTCCCCATTCCTGTAGCTGTGTGTCCTTAAAGTAGATTCCCAGAGGTCTCCTTCTGTGCCTGGAGACACTCGGGGACTGGTTAGGTTCCCCCAGGATCTTTTCCTTCCTGGTCAGATGATGAGCTTGGGTCTGACAGATGAGGTCCAGCTCCCGGGGTATGCAACCCTGGTGGCCTCCATACAAACACTCCTTAACTCTGGCTGCAGACATGCTTCTTGACCTCAGCGACCTGCTCCAGGTAGATCACTTTCCTTCAGTCTTTGTTCCCTGAGTGCACTACAGGGCCACAGCCAGTGCTTCCACATCTCGGAGGCCAGTCTGTGTGGCCTGCTGTAGTAGGCGGGGGGCCTTTGTGGTGAGGGTGGTGAGGCTGGTGTGGCCAGAGCTTGGGATCTCAGTAGGAGAGTGCGGCTCACAGCCCCAGTGATATCTAGGGCCTGGTGGCTTAGCCTTAGAATCACTTGAGAGACCCTCTTTAAATTTAGTCTAAGTCAAAAGATTCTTTTAAAGGGAATATTGGATCCCACTACATGCATTTGAAACTCTGGAGAGCCCTCATAAGTAAAGTCTATTTAGGGTCATTAGCATTTTGGATTCAGATGAAGTGTTTTTTTGTTGCATTGCTTGTTTCTGTTTGTTTTTTTAAGGCCAGGACTCATGTAGCCCCTGCAAGCCTGGAACTCAGAGATCTCCCTGCCCCTGCCCCTGCCCCTGCCGTGCTGGGATTAAAGGTGTTCGGTACAATGCCCAGTGCACTGCTCACTTCTCAGTAATTGAGCATCATGAGAAGATGCACCTAGGGACCCTCAAAGGAGACTGCACTAGTGCCCCTCTGACATACTGTGCTCGGCGGCTGGGTGGAGACTAACTGAAGTTCCCAGACCACTCCTGAGGTCCACAGTGACACTATGGACCAGGAACAGGAAGTAGAATGAATGTGCACAAGTTCACCCTGAATGGAAACCCTGACCTAGGTACCCCTAGGGATTCTGAGAGCCCATAGGCCAGGCTACTGTAGCTCCTGGTTGCTCGTGCCTCAGTGCCCCTGAAGACTAACAGTTAGATTCCAGTCAGATGGTGCCTTGTATTTTTGTTCTCCCAGCTGTCTTTATAAATGGCATCTCTCAGCAGCTATTGCTGAAATATTTTTTGGTCAAACTAAAAATAACCTGTTGGAATGGTGATAATCCATTGACTCCACCTTTGAATGCATTGTGCTCAGTTCAGACCATGGCCACGTGACTGTTTCCATCTATTTCCAGCCTCCCAGAAAAGATGGGGCCAGGGCCAGGCAGTGCCAGAAGTAGCTTGAACACCTCTTAGAGGAAAACAGGTGCACAAGTCATCTGGCTTCACAGCTCTGGAAGTGGGAAAACAGCCCAGACTGTCAGGATAGAAGGTGGCATGCCACCAGCAAAGGCTGAGGTCTGGCCAGCTGTGTAGTCTGGGTTGCTACAGACTACTCTACTCTTGGTAGGGCTATGCTGGCAGAATGGAGTGTGAGAGGACCTGCAGGTGAGGACCATGCAAAGCTGCTCCGGCCCCGGCCCCGGCCCCGGCCCCGGCCCCGGCCCGGAAGATCCACACTATGTTTGTTCGTTTGTTCCTCCCAGATTTCCCTTGCCTGGCCTTAAGACAAGACAGTTTTGTTCTTATGTGGGTGGGGCTCATGCCAGGTCAGTGAAGGCCCCGGGTGGAGCTGGCTGCTTTGCAGGAGTCAGAGTAGAATTGGCGGAGACCCTGAATTTAAAGCCTCATTTTTTTTTTTTTTTTTTTTTTTCCTGACTCACATATATGCCAAAGGCAGATAGCCATCAGCCACAGGCCCAAGAGAGTGAATTGTCAGTGTGGTGATGTCTAACAGCACCTACCAATTATTAGTGTGCCTAGAAGCCTGGTACTGTGGTACACACTTGTAGTCCCAGGTGCTTAAACACTGTCTCTAGAAGGTATTTCATTTTTTTTTTCTTTTAGATTTATCTGTATGAACATTTGCCCATATGTATGCGTGTGGACCAACTGTGTCCCTGGTACCCATAGAGGCCAGAAGAGGGTGTTGGATCCTCTAGAACTGGAGTTAGAGATGGTTGTGAGCCACCATGTGGGTGTTGGGAACCAAACGCAAGGCCTCTGCATGAGAAGCAAGTGTTCTTTCCCACTGAGCCACCTCTCCATCCCCTGGAAAGTGTTAAAACCTTAAATTTACACGTGAAGTCTATTCAGTACCATTCTGCAGCAATCAGGTCTCATTGTTAGACAGATCCATCTGGAGCCCAAGGTTAAGTTAGTGAAGGAGTCTGAGGTGGGTAGATGGAGGTCAGGGCCAGCTTTGGCCACACCACTGGAGTGGGAACCTGGATGTCTGTGGGAGCCTGAGAACAGTACTGTGCAGGAACAGAGTACTACAGGAGCACACTTACTTGCACACTTGAATACAGACTACCTACCATGTGACCTGTGCGTATGATTACACTGTATACTCCCATGTTTCCATACCATACATGAATACTCACATAAGTCATACAGTCATGCACACCATCGTTTTAAAGATGACCTTTGAAACTGCAGAAAGCAGAATTACTTCAGGAAGTGCTCTTTGAGCCACCAGTCCTTACGTAGATCTCAGGAAGATACCTGTGTCCAGTCGGGGTGTAAGGTGACCACCCCACTCCTGATTGGCTATGGTGGCTGACCCTGACCTTTTCAGGTGGCTTGGCTCACTAAATTGACAAGTCATAAATTTTCTCCCCCTAGTCCTGCATGTAAGGAAGACCCCATTCTGTACCATCCCTTAGACTTTGTCTCTTGACATATGTCACCATCTAGGAGGTATCACTTTCATGCCAAGAACAGAGGCTTAGAGAGGGCCCACAGGCTAGGCTTGATAGGTGAGGGATTTCTTTCAGGAGGCCAGAGGCAGAAGACTAGACCAGTTGTATTTGTGAGCCCAGGAGTGGCCTGGCATGAGTACACTGGGGTTTTCAGGGAGCTGAGGATGGGAGGAGCCTCTATCTAGGTTGGGTCAGGCCTGAGTACCCAGGTTAATCCATACACTGCTGCACTAAGGTAGTGTAGGCACATCAGGGGTTCTGTATACTCGCTAAACTTTTGCTTTCCTGACAACTGATAGTGCTCCTACCACTCCAACCCTTGGTACAGCCTTTCCAGGATGGACTCACTCCCACTGCTTACCTCCTCTGGCAAAGAAGAGCTTTGGCGGGTGGCCAACAGGCTACATGGCAGATAAGGAGCTGAGGTGAGGGTAGTGGAGGAAACATTTGGGATTCCAGGAAGGAAACAGATCTCTGGGACTGTAAGGTAGAGGAAGAGCAGCCATTGTGTTATGTACCAGTCTTAATTGGTTCACAATTAAGCATAACTCTATACTGTGTTCCCTATCTTACTGTCGAGGGTGCCCTCAAAGACCTTTTCTAAAGCAACGATTGACAAGATTGGGGAGTCTGGGCAGCCCGACAGAAGAAGGCTGGAGACCTGCAAAGGCATGGAGTGGATTTTCCACAGTCCAGCAGGGATTTCTGGTAGTGGGTTCTTCTGAGACACAGTGAAACAGGCACATTAAAACAGCAGCTGAGCCAGGTGTGGTGGCGCACTCCTTTACCCAGCACTCGGGAGGCAGAGGCAGGTGGATCTCTGAGTTTGAGGCCAGCCTGGTCCACAGAGCTAGTTCCAGGACAGCCAGGGCTACACAGAGAAACCCTGTCTGAAAAACAAAACAACAACAACAACAACAAAAAAAAAACGGGAAAAAACGCAGCAAATATGCATTCCTAGCTGTGTTCTGTTTGTCACAGGTGAATGTGTACGTGCTGGGGAAGACGTTCCTGCTCTTGGCGAGGGAGCTCTGCATCAACGCACCGGCTATAGGTAGGCTGGGCTGAGGTCATACCACTCTGGAGAGGAATGTCGGGTCAGAGGGAAGAATGTCTCCTAGAATTTGTGGGACATACATACGGGCAGTAGGCTTTTATTGTGGTGCAAACTCAGAAGGCTTCTATCAGTGTTTGTCAAATGTGGCTCAGGACCAAATGGAAGAATATGACGCTTCAGGTTGGGAACCCAGCAGATACAGTAAGAAAGGCAGGGCCCTCCTCACAACGGAGGGAAGAAGTTCCAGGAGCAGGTGCCCTCTAGCCATGGTCCTTCCCGTATGCAAGAATGGGTTTTCATGGTTTCTGAACTATCAACTCGCGGTTATGAGGCACTCCTGGGGGCTAGAGCAGAGGGCCTGAGAGGGTAGGGTTGAGTCCCAACAGAGCCGGGCTTCTGGTGTTATAGGACACAAACTCTTCCCCAGAGACCCCTGCCTTGCTAGTGGGCCTCTGAAGGTCAGGTGCTTTTCTAGGACAAAACATCTGTAAGGAAGGATAGAGGCCCCGGGCCTAGGGCTCTCTTTTCACCAACACACCCCACAGCAGGCCACACACCCCATAAATCTGACCTCTACAAGCGAACCCTAAGGTGCTTTAACAAGCACAGTCACCCAGATACATGGCCTTCTGCAGAATTGTAGCGACAGCCCATAAGAGGAAGATAGCCCACATGCCACACAGGCATAGACGGGCCCCAGTTTTTTGTTTTTTCGAGACAGGGTTTCTCTGTAGCTTTGGAGCCTATCCTGGAACTAGTTCTTGTAGACCAGGCTGGCCTCAAACTCACAGAGATCCACCTGCCTCTGCCTCCCGAGTGCTGGGATTAAAGGCGTGCGCCACCAACGCCCGGCCAACGGGCCCCAGTTTTTACTGCTCTGCACTGCAGACTTCATACAGACAAGGTGTTCTTGTTAGAGTGAGAAAGAGAATGCTCCAGTTAATAATCCCTACAGTCACTTATCGGCAGTGGCTTTTGTTCGTGAAACCTTTATTATGAAAAGTCACTTAAATAGGATGGAACTGTTTTTTTTTTTTTTTCCCCCCGAGACAGGGTTTCTCTGTGGCTTTGGAGGCTGTCCTGGAACTCGCTCTGTAGACCAGGCTGGTCTCAAACTCACAGAGATCCGCCTGCCTCTGCCTCCAGAGTGCTGGGATTAAAGGCGTGCACCACCAACGCCCCACAGGATGGAACTGTTTTAAGTGACTTTTCAGCAACTTGTGGCTTGAAAGGAAGGCCTCAAGGTAGGCTAGGGCCACTTAGAGTCCAAGGGTTCTGAAGCTGGGGTGCCACTGGGCAGGGACCTGTCCTTCATCTGTGGAGTACCATCTTAGGGTCAGGGGGTACCTGCAGTTCAGTTCTAGGTTCTGGCTGCAAAGAGAAGTCATCTGTGCCAGACTTGGGCTGGTAGTGTAAGCCAAGCCTTTAATAGTCTCAGTAAGGCAGTAGGCAGTGTCCTGCACTCCACGGCACTTACTGGGTAGACTCCAACGGAGGAGGAGCCTGGTGGCAAGTCCACTTGGACCACTACCCCTCAGGCATAGAAGATGAGCTCTGGAATCTGTCCACCCTGGACTCCAGTCCCATTGGTACTGTCCGAGGAGCACTGGAACTGGAAGGCCACCTTTCCACACTGTACTTCCGTCATTCCTTCCTGCCCAAAGTAGCTGAGCTCACTGCCATCCAGGACAGCACTGGCAGTGTAGAAGGTATCCTGCTCTACCTGCACAGGGTGCTCAAACCAGACTGGGAATGTGCTGCTGGAGCCATCTGAAACAAACTTGGTGAGATTCTGAGCCAGGACCATTCCTAGCCGTTTGAGTTCAATCTTCACGCTGTATTCAGCCTTCCCAGAACTGGACCCATATAAGCCCAGTCCAGCAATGAACACCCTTCTGTCCACTGCAAACTGGATGCTGTCACAGCGCCCACGGTACCTCCACTGGTTACTTCGGTAGGCAGAAGACTGGAAGCGGTGGCACCTCTGGGGAGCAAGGCCCTTCCTCTTGGTCAGGGGGAAGTCAAGGAGGGGCTTGTTGGCTGCCGTGTACCAGAGGAAGATACTGTGGGTCTCCTCCAAGGTCAGGATATCTGACTGAGCAGGACCGTTGGCAAACTCCTCTAGTGACATAGTTGGAATTCGGACTAGATAGAGGGCTCTTCCCAAGACATGCCTCTTGTTGTGAGGGGTGATCGGCAGGCCCTGTCTCTTGCACTCTGCCTCAGCCCAGTTCAGGACCGCCTCAAAGACCACAGCTTCTTTGGTGTTGAGGGCCTCCCTGGTCACAATGATCTCCAAGGTCTGCCGGTCAATTTCACAGAACCCTTCAGACCTCAGAGCCATCTCAGCCTGTGCATCAATGACTTCCCAGCAGCGCTGGGTCAGTTCAGGCTCCTCAAACAGTCGGCTCTGGGATAGCAACACACAGGCATTCTTGGCTTCCAGGCTTGTCTCCAGAAAGTTGACACAGGCCTTGGCTAAGGCAGGCACAATGTACTTCTTAGCAGCATACAGAGTGGCGAGTACTGTGTCTGCCTCCAGGTCAATCTCATCGCTGTACATGTACCTGGGAAAGGCAGGGACTCTTCTGGGGAGCTGCAAGGGCTGGCCTCAGAGAGAGGAGCTCATGGCCTCCCATGCACACCCTCTCGGGTTGTAGGAAGCATGTAGGGGACCACTGGAAAGCAACCACCCCATTCTTCCAGCCCCAGAGTATACGGCACTTACTTTAGCAAGACCAGGAAGGCTGCAGGCTCGACGTCGGGAATGTGGATTTCTGACTTGACTTCCGCAAGGTCCCCATAGAACATGGCATAGAAGACGGAACTGCCGACAGCCAAGACATACTGTGAATGAAACAAAGTCACCTGAGCTATGGGGGTCGGAAAGAAGGTCCAGGGAGACTGCGTCTAGCCAGGCCCGCCAGGGGACAGGGTTGCGCCCCTACCCACCTTGTGGGCGGGCACGCGCCTGGCTGCCCCCAGCACCCCCACGATGAAGTGGACGTCGGCCATCAGCTCGTTGTTGAACATGAGCGCATTCCTGCAAAGGGGAGAGGCACACGGGCTGCAACGGCGCGCTCCCGGGCTCGGGAGCCCGGGGGCGGGCGGCGGCTCACCTCTCGCGCAGCGTCGGGTGGAAGGACTGCCAGTTGGGGCTCTCAGGGTTGTTGTTGTCGGGTGCGGGCGGCGCGGGCAAGGGTGGCAGTGGGGCGGGCGCCAGGCGCGGCG